GATAGTTTTTTACCTGGTTAGCAGGTTTTTATATCTGTAAACAAGTTCTCTTAGATTTTAGAATAGTCTTTTAATTCTTTTAAATTTGGTCATTTTCTTTTTTGTTAATTTTTTCTGTATTTACCCCATTTTCGTTTTTACACTTACCCAAATTTTTTTCTTTTTTACTTCTCTATGAGAAAGTGTTATCAGATTGGCAACACTCTATTGTAGAGCGGTGATTCTGACAAGAGCGGTGAAACCATCTGTTGATACTGGGGCTCAAATCCTCAGTAAGTTAAGGATCTTGGTGGAGGAAAATTTTCACTTAGGCAGGTCGCTCCTGGGTCATACTTCAGCGCTTAATTCTGGTGAGCTAGGATTAGGTTGTGATAACAAGATAAATCGAGAGATTCTTTATTTGGACAGGCATTAAGTAGTTTATGAAAAATAATGTAAATTTAGCTAAATTGAATATCTATTTGTATTCTATTGCCAATTTATAAAATAAAAAAAGGATCGCTGAAGTAAAAAAAAAAGAAAAAGAAGTAAATATAATATATAAAATGTAATAATTAACTGTTTTAAATACAACAAATCATCTAATAGTTAACAGGCTTTTTGTATTTTATATGCTTTTTTATAAAACCTAACCCAGTCTGGTATTTTAATGGACTTAGCTCAAACCTGACCCAATATAATTACAGACCTAAAAATACAAGTTTGATTCAAAATTTTTGCAGTTTAGATTAGGCTTGAGCCCAAATATCCAGCTCAATTTTATACTCTAGTCTTCTATAATACTACAGCTCTTTATATTTAGATCTTCTTCTGAAAATTTCTAGTCTAGCTTTATACCTATATTTAGATTTAACTACAAGGCTCTGCATTTAATTATGGCTTTCTAAGGTTATAAAAACAAATTATACAATTTGTTTCTAGCCTAACTTGAACTATTAACCTTGTTTGTGAGATTTAAGAGCTTAACTAGTAAGCTATAGAACCCAAACTTTAGACTTTAATATTTTATTTTAGATTGCTTTAAAAATTTAAAAATATAATTTTAAACCTATTCCTGGAATAAGCTACTCTATTAACAATCTTATTCTAAATACCTATATATAATAAAACAATCAATAATCCTATAATCGTGATTTTGCAAGTCAAATTGTAATAGTACATTGTAGTATAGTAGTAATTCTGTGATAGCCATCAATAGATTTGGGTTTTTATATATATTTTTTAAAAATTAGGCCTTTATATATAATCCTTTTTAGAATTTATTTAGTATTCACTGGAGGTGAAATTTACCACCACAATATGATCTATAAAAATTTTCATCGCAAATTTTAAAGCTAAAATTAAACTTTAGAATTAGAGTTTAAGGCTTAATTAAATTAAGGTTGATATTAGGGTTTTTTTGGCACTGAACACCTTTACTTAGTATACTGCTACACCCGAAATTACCTTTTATATATAAGTTAGTATAACGGTTTTACTTTAGCGACGGATATATTAGAGATTTAGTTATGAAAAAGGCAAACGGCTAAATGTATATGAAGATACAAGTAGTCGTATTAACAAGTTTATTATTATACTCCAGTTATTCGTATATGAAGACACTATTACAGGGTTATGGTTTATTCGGGTGATCTGTGTATGAAAAAACGATTATTCTTTAGGGATTTATTCAATAAAGTATTCGAGTTGTTCGTGTATGAAGACACGATTAGGCCGCTTGAAGTTGAAACTTTGTTTAACGTTATCCCCCCCTCCATCTCCCGGGTTCCCCCCAAAAATTAAACAAATAGAAATGAAAATTTGAAGCAGTCGGGTTTTTTCGGTTTACGTCGGGATTTCTCGATACACTATGTTTAATTTTTATGTTTGTTTAATTTTCATCCCTCCCCCCCTCTATAAATACGAAAAAAAATAACGTTAAACGAGGTTTTAATTTCAAGTCGCCTTATTCTTTATTTATAGTTTGTTGTTGGAACTTTGAGTTCTGTTCTTTACAAGAGAAATATCTAAGGCTATTTATACCTTTTGAACTTTCTATTTCTGTTACTATTTTTATAAATTACAGTATTAGCAATTTCTTCTATGATCTGTTTTAATTTGGTTAATAATTCAAGCTCTGATGACATGTTCGATAATAATTTTTTATATAAGTCAGATTTATTTAAATTATTGAGTTGAAAAAAATTTTATATCATTATCAATACATTAAAATAAATTCCCGAAATATATATGCAAAAGTAACCGTGATTAATTATGCGAAATCAGCCACCAGGGTCGGCTTTATTGATAAAAATAAAAATCAAAATAAAAGTACAGAATAACGAATAAATTCTTCTTTATTCTATCGCAAAGCCAAAGAATGAAAATCTCATTCAGTCGCTTTTTAGTTCTTTAAGCATTCGGCCATTAAATAATAATCTAATTCTGTTGCTTTACATTTTTCATCAATAGATATTTCGCATATTCAATACAAATCCAGCAAGGACTTGTGACGGAACTTGAGTGGGATTCATAAGTATTTGCCGATTAGATTCTCACTTCGGGCGGACTTACGTATCAATCAATTGCTATCCCTTCCTAAATAAAACCTATTAACAACAGAACGATTGATAACAGGTAGCCATCATTTGTTCACTTACTTCAACTCCACCATTAATCCATAGTAACATTTTCCTATGAAAATCCTGAGGTGATTGACTCTGTGAGCGTAATTCCACAACAAAGTTTGGTGCAACTGGTGGAAATGCTAGATGTCTATCGGCATTTGATAAAGCATTCCATCTGCAATAAAATAGAAATTAAAGACATACCGTATACCCGCAAAATAACGCTCACGGGCGTTAATTTGAAATTTGCCCCCCTAAAAAATGCCATATTTGGTTCGAAATAACGCACATGCGCGTCCCGAAATAACGCGCACCCAAGTAAATCATCGAATAAATCGATTTGCTATAATCGGGATTTTTAATTTATTCGATTTTAACTTATTCAACTTTTTTTCATTTTAATATCCAATTTGCTTTATAAGAATATAATGAAGTTTAATCGTATCGCATTTCTGGAATATGTGACAGGTTAGTCAACTCCCTGCCTGACTATCACGGCAGCATAAAAATTAAACCCGATGGTTCCAAATAGTACATTATGTTTCCAGCTAACCTGTTACGGATTTCAGAAATGCTAGCGTATCCATTTTATGTTAACTAGGGTTGCTGGGATATTTTTATTACTATATAATACCTAATCTCAAAAATTTGCGAACTAAAATTTAGTAAAGATAAGTTGTACACATTATTAATAGTCAAAGCCAAGATTTACTTTTAAAACACAGTATAATTTGTTATAAAAAGCGAAGATAAATTTGCGCATTTTTTTTTTTTTGCTTATTCAGTTTGAACTGCGCATCACTTTTAATCTAAGGATAAAGAACAGGAGCAGACTTTTTTTTCAACACTTAAGCATACATATAATCAAGAAAAAAGGCTCGGCTATAGTTGCCATTTCCAAACTTTTAAAGTATCACTTTAATCGATTGAAGTTTTACTTAGAAGAATAATAATAACCAGAGAAGTGTTATATTTGCAATCCATTTATAAGAAAGATGAGGCTCTGCTTATATGCACAACAATAACCAGAATTAGCATTGAGAGTAGCATGATCAAAGTTCTTTAAATTGCTTTTTCAAAATTTTGTGATTATAAATTTTACCGTTGACAGAAAGAATTACGGTTTTGACAAATCTATTATTGTGAATGATTGGTTAAAATTAATATTGGCAAAAAATAAATAAAATTAAAAATAAAAATAAAAAAAAAAAACAAAAAAATAAATTTACTTACTTATGTCAATTTACATTACTTCATTGATATTCATTGCATTGATATCTATTGTGTCCATATCCAACACTTCATGATCCACTACATTTTCAGCACCTAGCTTATTGTCAGAATCCAACTCACCTTTTGAAAATATATTTTCATCTTCGCTTTCATATTCATTGTTTTCTTCACCTTCGCCTTCATTATTTTCTTCACCTTTGCTTTTATCATTTTCTTCATCTTTGCCTTCATCATTTTCTTCATCTCCATCATTTAACAATTCATTCACATCATTTATATAGTTTTCAACTATAGCCTGAAGACAATTTGATATCTTATTGTTTTTGTTACCATTGGGGTTGAGCACAAGTCCAGCCGTTTCAAATGATTTGGTCAAAAGATCTTTACTAATTTCCTTTCAAGTTTTGGATACCTATTTGCAAATAAGTGCATATGAGGCTTTTTTACAGGCTCCTTTTTTGGTAAATTCTTTTTCACTTTCATCAATTCATTCATTCTACCTTTTTTCATTCCATTTTTAAAAGGTTTATTTACTGAAACATCCGGTGGTTGCAAAACACAAGTCATTCCTTCAGGTATTTCCAAGATATCCAAACCTTCTATATTTAACACCTTAACTACATCACTATAAACATGACTATGATAACCATCAACAAAAATTAAACCTTTGTTTTTAAAAAATCCTTCTAGCCTTGCATATATAACTCATGAGATATAAGTAGAGATTATTAAGTTTGTTCGCATATTTGCATAGGATGCTGTTGCTAAAACTACATCTCACAGAAATTTACCTTTGGGTTTCTTTTTTAGCTTAAAAATTACTGCCGGTGGGAGCTTATCCTCAGAAGCTGTATAACCTAGAACTACTGTGAAATGTAGCTTGTTATTTTCTGTACTTCTAATTGTCATCTCACGAACACCTTGAAAATCAAAAGTTGAACTCTGGGGTATATCAAACCAAATTAGTGTCTTGTCAAAAAAAATAATAAATTTTTTTTTATATTTTTTGTTTTTCGCATGCAATTTGAAGAAAGTTACTAACAATTAAGGGTAGGGTGTACATAGATCATTTTTCATATGATCTACATAGTATATTAGATTTTTATATAGTAAATAAAAAAATGCTTCTAATAAAACTT